CATTTCAATCCCTCTGATGATCATCTTCTATCTCTATATGTGGACATTGATCCTGAATCTCTTGCCACTTCTAACCCAATGCCACATTTCCCAGCACACTAAGATAAAATTGATGCTATTTTAGATAAACAGATTATGTTGACTAAAGATAGAGAGGTTCAACGCTTTCTTGTTCGTTGGATCGATCGGCCTAAGTCTGATTACATATGGATTACTAGAGAGATACTGTTGCAGCTTGACCCAAACTTATTGGAGCTCTATCGGAGTTAGCAAGATCTTCATTTGCCTAGTTCTCTTTCCACACATTCAGGAGACATTGGTGAGGATATAGATTCTGACCACCACTGACACACGTTTATGGACATCGGAAGAAGCTCGTTCAACCTCTTGGTTTATGGTTGGGCAATTGATTGTAGTCTCCTATGATTTATTCACTCGACAAGGTCGAGTTTTTCTCCCACCCCGGGAGAGTTGATGCGGATATCATGACCTATTTTATTGTTGATTTTTATTAATTATGTTTTTATTATTATTAGGCTTGTAGTAGTTGGTTGACCCAAACCCGTCACTAGTAGGTTATGTTTTTACTATCTATTAGATTTTTCATTGTTGTTGAATTAGTTAATGATTGAGTGAAATTATAATTGGTGGCTGCCACGTTTTCTTCCTTCTCCTTTTCTTTCACGATTTCTTTCCCCTGCTTCTTTTCTCTTTTGTTTTTCCTGCTTTGATTCTTTCTGAGTGATAATAAATCCCAATTGATTCTACATCATAAATACTTAACCTCCCAAAAGAAACAAGGATGAGTGGTTGTAGACCCTCTGAAACACCAATAGAGCCAGATTTGAAGCTTAGAGGCAGTGGAAAGAAAACTCCTGTTGATACTGCACAATATTAAAGATTGATTGGCAAACTTAAATTTGTCCCATACAAGACCTGATATAGCCTTTGCAGTAAGTATGGTAAGTCAATTTATGCATTCTCCTTTTGAAGAACACGTTGAAGATATACACAAGATCTTGAGGTACCTAAAGAGTACTAGGAAAATGATTATTCTTCAAGAAACATGAGCAGAGAATAGTAGAAGTCTATACCAATGCGGATTGGGTTGGATCTACTACAGATAGACGCTATACCTTAAGGTACTGCACATATGTTTGGGGTAATCTTTTTACTTGAAGGAGTAAGAAGAGTGTAGTTCCATAGAGCAATGCAGAAGCTGAGTTTCGAGCTATGTCCCACGAGATTTGTGAGTGTTGTGGCTGAAATGTATGCTTGAGGAGGTAAGAAGACCTACTACATTGCCAATAAAACTCTATTGTGACAACAAATCTGCAATTAGCATTGCACACAATCCAGTGTAACATGATAAGACAAAACATGTGGAAATTGATAGACATTTCATAAAGGAGAAGCTTGAAGCAAGTGTTATTTGCTTGCCATTCGTTTCAAATTATTATTAGGCTTGTAGTAGTTGGTTGACTCAAATCCGTCACTAGTAGGTTAGGTTTTTACTATCTATTAGATTTTTTATTGTTGTTGAATTAGTTAATGATTAAGTGAAATTATAATTGGTGGCTGCCACGTTTTCTTCCTTCTCCTTTTCTTTCACGATTTCTTTCCCCTGCTTCTTTTCTCTTTTGTTTTTCCTGCTTTGATTCTTTCTGATTGATAATAAATCCCAATTGATTCTACATCATAAATACTCAACCTCCCAAAAGAAACAAGAATGAGTGGTTGTAGACCCTCTGAAACACCAATAGTTGAAGCTTAGAGGCAGTGGAAAGAAAACTCTCGTTGATACTGCACAATATTAATGACTAATTGGCAAACTTAAATTTGTCCCATACAAAACCTGATATAGCCTTTGCAGTAAGTATGGTAAGTCAATTTATGCATTCTCCTTTTGAAGAACACCTTGAAGATGTACACAAGATCTTGAGGTACCTAAAGAGTACTAGGAAAAGGATTATTCTTCAAGAAACATGAGCTGAGAAGAGTAGAAGTCTATACCAATGCGGATTGGGTTGGATCTACTACAGATAGACGCTATACCTTAAGGTACTGCACATATGTTTGGGGCAATCTTTTTACTTGAAGGAGTAAGAAGAGTGTAGTTCCATAGAGCAATGCAGAAGCTGAGTTTCGAGCTATGTCACACGAGATTTGTGAGTGTTGTGGCTAAAGTGTATGCTTGAGGAGGTAAGAAGACCTACTACATTGCCAATAAAACTCTATTGTGACAACAAATTTGCAATTAGCATTGCACACAATCCAGTGTAACATGATAAGACAAAACATGTGGAAATTGATAGACATTTCATAAAGGAGAAGCTTGAAGCCAATAAACGAACGGTAAGCAAAGTTCTTCAGATTAGACAGCTGACATCCTACAAAGGGACTCTGAAGATCACATTTTGAATTCCACATGAGCAAGTTGGGTATGATAGATATATATGCTCCAACTTAAGGGGAAGTGTAGATAAACAAAGAGTTATCTATTGGTTAGGATTGTTATCTGTTAACTAGGATTTGATACTTAAATTTGGTGATTAAGATAGATTAATTTAATTCCTAATTTTATGCTCAGTTTAGATTAGATTTGTTTTCTTGTAATTATCTTGAATGGTTTAGATAATTGTGGCTTAATCTTAGGCATTCTTAGGCTATTTATTCATATGTAATTCTCTGGTATTGTGTGTGAAATAATAATAATAATAATAATAATAATAATAATAATAAAAGGAGTTGTTTCTTCTTCTCCAGAACGTTCAAAATTAAATAAATATTTAGCACTTATGGTGGAGATTAAAATTAGATTTTTGTAAAATTTGATAAAAATTGATGAAAATATGTGGTTGAGAAATTATGAGATCCATGAAATATATATTTAAAATTAATTATTAACTTTAAATTAAATTTTAATTTTACTTTTAATTTCAATCCCTGTAAACAAGGGTTTTAAGGGCTTATTGAGTTGTTGAGGGAGACATCATGTAATTTGCAGATTTTCATTTGTACATTGGATGATTAGGTGGATGTACAACAAATGTCATAATGCTTGTACGCCATGTGTGGACATGTGTTGTATGGTATGCATACCATGTTTCTTCCTCGTTTACGTTGCTCTTTTTATTTATAACTTAATTTTCATATTTTCATTTGTGATGGTTATATTTGCAATTCTTTAATAAATATGTCATATTTTAATTATATTAAAGATTTTTAATCTTTATTTATTATTATATTTATATCATTAACTTTTTTGTTCATCATATTCTCTTCTTTAATCTTTCATTAACTAATAAATTATGTCCTTATTCATAACTTTCATCCAAAAACATACTTAGGGGCTGTCTGATACAGATTAAAAAACCCAAAAAATTGATTATGTTACTGTTATTTTCAACCATTTGGGCCCCACCAAGACACAATGTAGTCAAACATTTCGGCTAAACAGTGAAAATAAGAGACAAAATTCTGATTTTAAGCAGCAACAAACAGGCTCTTAGCCCCTGTTTGACACTCATTTTGGAGAAAAAATAAATTTTGAAATAGTGATTGATAGAAGAATGTGTCGTTAAAAAGTAATGAAAATTTTTTGGTTTATGTGTAGTATTATTTTATTGATAGAACGTGTAATTGAAATGAAGAAAGAGAAAAAAATGAAAAAGAAAATGAGAATAAAATGGGTGTCAAACAGGGGCTTAATATGCTTTAGAATAAGAGACAAATATTTAAGCTTAATTTTTTCAACTTATTCAAAAATATAAGAAAAAATAAGTTTTTTACTTCATCTAATGAATTTTTTTGACATACCGTCATTAGGAACAACGTGTATTAATTTGAGAATAAAAATACGGTGAAAAAGTTTGAAATATAAATGTGACAATAAGTAAAAGTTATGAACATTTCATGCACTGTATTGAAAATGTGATGTAATTTTATTTGGCTTTTCCATTTTATTGCAATTTCACAATTCCACTCTAATCCTTGACCACTATTATTTCTATGTTGTCCTCCAAACATTGAAGACTTCCAGTAAAAATATAGGGAAAATTGCAGCATCAGTTCCAAACTTTTCATTTTGTTGCAGATTACATCCAAACCTTTAATTTTTGCGGTCGAAATCCCAAACCTTTATGTAATTGCAGTGTTGGTCCCAAATCGTGGATCCCGTCCAAATTGCCGTCAGTCAACAGGAAAATTTGAATTTTGGTTCAAATTGCCGTCGGTCAACATAAAAGTTCTATATATATATAAAAAATGATTTAAAGTGAATTTCTCATAAATCTCTTCCACAAGAAATAGAAATAATAAAAAAAGTTCTACTAAACAGATCCTTAGCCCATGTTTGGACTTCATTTTAATTTTAATCAATTTTTCTGTTTTTTTCTTTTCAATCACACTTTGTTCCATACATATAAATTTAAAACTTTTCTTTCTTTTTTAATTACATATTTTTTTAAAAATTACTATTTTAAAATATAGTTTTTTTCAAAAATTAATTTTAATGGAGTCAAGAGGATTGGCTTCATTCCAACAAACCATATCAATGTCCTGTAGCCATCCCTTCGCTTTAATTTTAAAGTCCTGACAGTAATAAATTAGAGAAAAGAGCAATAAAATATTAAAAATAAAATAAAATAAAATATACAGTAGTGGTATAGTACTAATAATTAGAATAGCATCTGGAAGGGCAAAACCGTCAAACGAAAAGGCCAAAAAATGTTTGTCGTGGTCGTAATGTCATGGTCTGGAACTTCCCTGGCAATTGCTGCTCATTCTCGCATTCCGCGCCGATGAAGTCAGCCTCGCACGCTCGCACGTGAAACCACATTTCAAACGAACCCTCGCACGCTCAAATATTACGTACAAAACCGCACATGCACTGATGCACATAGGCTCATAGAGCATCAACGTAATTACGAAATCAGAAATGCAGGAGAGAAAACTTGAAACGTAAAATCTCGTTTTTCTATTTGCTGATCGTTTCGACAATGGCGGTTAGTTCCGGTGACGAGGTGAGATTTTTCATTTATTGGCAATGGTATTTCAGTCATTTTAGTGTTTTTTCAATTCAAAATTGCTCTCTTTTGAAGTTCAACTCTGGGATTCAATTTCAATTTTTTAATTACTCTTGTTTCAATTGAATATTTGTTATTGGTAATCTGTGTTTTCTGAATTGAGTTGTTGTTCTGTAACTTTTTACCCTATATTTATCCGTTGACCAAAATAGCGGTAACATTCAAATAGAAGAAGGAATTTGCTTCAGCATTTCATTTTGAATTAGAATAATTTAACCTGTTCTCGGGAAACAGGAGGTAATTTTGAGTGTGACCGAATGGCTCCCGGATTAATTTATTTTTTGAATTTCGCAAATGTGAAATTTCGTGGAAGAATTGCGACGGTTGTCTACTCTGGTGAAAATTTTGATAGCACATTCGTAATATAGAATAAAATCTTTTGCTACAAAAGAGGTAGTTAATGAGCTACAGCTCTGCATTCTATGTTGTTTGTGCTCTATGTTTCGTTATCAGATTTTATTAGATTCGCATTTCTAAATCCATGATTTGATGTGCTTTTTGTGTAGTTGTCCTTTTACTGTAGGTTTGGGAAAACTAATAAGTAATGGGGCAAATTTTCAAACTAGCATTTGATGGTTAAAGTAAAAAATAATTACGTTTTTTTTTTCCAAGATGCCTTACATGAAGGTCAAATGTCTTATTTAAGCTGAATAAAAATGGTCATAATCTGTTTTCACTATTTTTATTGTAAAGGTGCATTCAAATTGACCAACTCGACTCAATGGTCGAGTTTTAAAAGATAGATGGAAATTTATAGAATTTTAATAGGCTATTTGTAAAATAGTTGTCAAGAGTGGCCATTTCTCATTTTCCCACCATGTACATTGCCTCTCCAGCAAATTTTCTCTAATAAATTAATGAATAGTAACATAGAGCAGAAATCTAATTTCTCCTCTAATACAAACTGATATTTAAGGTTTTCCTTAATTGCGTCTAAAAACATGTCTTTTGATATGTTTGGTTCTTTACAAATTTATTCTTCAATCATTTCAGCATTTGTCAATGAATCTAAACCAAAACTTCTCCGAAAATTTTGAACAGAGAGTTGACGAAACAACACACTTTAATCTTATTAGGCATATGATTTTGATAAATTAGCAATTGTATTCACGTTTCTAACTTTTCTTTATTGTGGATATTGGTTATTAATAGCTTATCGAAATATGTTTCTCAATCCAGTCTCAATAGTTGTTTGCTAAATGATAGATGTTGTTAAGACCGGAATCTTTTTTACTCCAAGCTTTCACCTCGTCTCACGATTCTTCTTCTGAAGCTGCTGACCAGAACCTACATAAATGGGAAGGGACCTCCCCATTCCCCATCATGCCTAAGTGATATTTTGTTCAAGATGAAAGGAACAATAGTACGTGAAGTAAAATAACCGATAGATAATAGCTTTTTGGACCTGAATGTGTACTTTATATAGGAGAGTCTTTGGTATGGTTGAGACTTCTACTCCTCGAAGTCTTTTATTTCGTGAGAGATTAAGTGAGATCTTGTTCAAGATGAAAGGCATGACAGTATACCAAGTAAAATATTGTTTGAGATATCATAGCTTTTTGGATATATGGGAGTCTTTGTTATGGTTAAGTCTTGATTTGCTTCACTCTAGTGATCCACGGTATGTTGACTTGTAAGTTTATTTCTTTACGTTGAGGATATGGAAAATAAAATTTACGCAATAGGGATGCACTAGATGTGGTTTTTCAATACTAATATTTTGACAGGTAATATAATCCCTGGCCATGCTACAAGTTTGATTGTCCTTACGATCGGTTATGGTCAGTTGGAGGGAGACACATGAAAAATAAGTAGTCTGCTGAAATGCACACATGCAACCAAACTGATCTTTACCTTGTTTTCTGAAGCTATTCCACACGAGTCAGGCTCATCTATCTAGAGGTCCAATCACCATCACACAACCAAAACCATACCTCAAAAGCTACATGTTGGAGTTGGAGAGTCCAAATCTATACAAACCATACACCGAGAGCCCATACTTTCGATGTGGGATTCAAGTTCTATACCTTGCAATGAGACCCATGACAATCCACTACGCTCCACGACCCCCGCTCCCATGTCAGATTGCTTTACACTAGCCCATGACTAGTCTCAAACAAACACTGCTATGTTGGCATCACCATTCGTGCCGCTCATTGCAACCGAGAGACATGGTGCCTACTCTGATACTATTGATAAAAGAATCAAGCTGTTGAAGTTGGATGGCCAAAATCTATATAAACCACACACCGAAAGCCCGTACTTTCGATGTAGGATTCAAGTCCCATGTCTTGCAATGGGAACCATGATATTTTCATGCATGTGATGAATTATAAAAATATCATTCTTTATTGGTTATCCATTAATGTTTAGCTCATATTAAAGCTTGGACAAAATTGAGCTCTGAATTTTGCAAATGAACTCTAGGCAATCATTTCATTCAATATAAAGCACAAGAGTGCTTCTGTGTAAGAAATTTTGTGTGCAAGGATCAATTCCTTTCAAGTTGTAAAATAGGTTACCGCAATGTTGTTTTTTGGTCATTGCAACCAGTTTCCCTTATTGTCTTCGGTATTCCCTTACCTTATCTGTAATTTCGTTGCTCTTTTGTCTTGTGGCCAATTATGGAGTTTTGACTTATTTTGTTTTTGCGATTTTGGTTTACATTTTTGCCCTTCTGCTTTCTATTGTTTGATTCTTCCATAATCTGTATTTCCAGTGAAGAAGTAACAGAGTACATTCTTTTTTCTTCAGTGCCGAAGCGATGATAGTGTAGTGGTGTTGCCTGATGGAGGAACCGCCAAACCAGAGAATGACTCACAACTAAATATTGTCAGGCATATGGAAGCTTTTAATATGATGAAAAGTGTCGTGTGCTTGACTACAGAGTCAAATTTGGAAAATGCTAACCTAAAGATGGATAAAGCAAACAACCCTGCCCCATGTATTTTAGATGTTGATATTGAGAAAGGAAAGTCAGAAAATACTAATCTCAATGATGAATCTGTTGAGCTTCTGAAGACTAATGATTCCTTTGCAGTAAGTTCTCGACATGCAACACTACTCAGGCTTCAATTGTTAGGAATCCATGTAAAATACTTCGGGAAGAATCAGAGCCATTTTCTGTCTCACTGGTGCATTGTTCTTCAGTCGTTCTATTGTGGTTCTTTCATTTGGTATTTCAAAGTGACAATGAGCTGTTTTGCAGAGGACATTGCAGAGAGAGATTAGCTTAGGAAGGAAATTCACACAGCTTCTAATGAACCATAGCTCTGAGTTACCCAAGTTCACTTCAAGAGGTAGCTATCGATTACACATCCATTCTAACTTCAGCTCTTTTCGTGAATTATTGTATTGTAATCCTGGATATTAATCTGTTGCAATGATTTCATGATATTTGCACCTTTCCCATAATAATGCAAGCTATGACGTGAAACAATTATTATATTTTATTATTATTTTTCCATTTCAAAGTTTTTAGCTCATTAAGCCTATGTTTGGATCATGTTTATAAATTATTTATAAACACTCAAGCCACTTTGTTTCTATGCATTTTGAGGGACCCACAAGTAGTCCCCACTTATCCACTGCTTAATACTATCTATTTATAATCTAAACCGTCTATAAACACATCCCAAACATGCTCTAAGTTTAAAGGGAGGCAAGCCATTGAAATGACAAATTAGCTTTATAAATTGCTAAAAGTACCACTTTGCATTATCTATGATATGAACGTTTGGAACTTATCCATCTCAGATTTAATTTGGTCCCCAAACTTTTGGCCCTGAGTCTTGGCATAAATCAGAAGCATTGACGCCATCCAAATTCGAGACTCTGAGTTTGGCATAAATCAGAAGCATGTTACATCCAAGAGGGAAACTAGTGGTTACACATTCTTTTCAATCTTCATCCTTGAGGTCTCTAAAGGAAAAATTATGCGAGTAGACCATGCTGTTTATTGGATTAGTCAGCAGCACTGGAAGTTTAAGAGATGATACCCTTTTACATTCCTTTCATTTTTCCTCATTTCTTTTTCTTTTTTGGAATGTGGAAACAAAGACTTTTCATATTTTAGTATCTTATGCCTTTTGTACTATGAGATTCACTTGCTAACAAGTATTTTCCGTACTATGTAACAGAGAAGTTTTTGACCGAGGGAGTTTATGATGCACTTACTAACAGATCAAGGAAATACAAGCGATCTGCCTCCTTCAATTCAAGGAGAGTAGTACTTTTGTTCTCAGTCTTGTAAGTCAAAAGACATCACATTTTAGTTATTGAACGATCTCATTTTAATCAAGTTGGATTACTTGTTCTAATAATTCTTACAATATAAAATTTCATAAGTTGATGTCAAAGTACAAGAAGCAAATGACTAGTCTTCAAGGTTTAAGGATAAAGCATGAAATGAATGATGTCATGAAAACATGATATAAAATTGTATAACCAACTTGGGTATGCTTATATCATAGTCTGCGGCGTCGTAAATGTAGAACTGCCGCGGTGAAGGAAATGCAAAGGTTGATAGCTACCCACATGTTGGAATCACAGATTGTCCATTTATATTTTTTTTTGTACAAGTCATTGGAAACAATAATATACTGCTGTCTGCTAGTTTTTCTTTACTTTTTTGGTGATAAATACAATTAACTAATCAAAATAAAAATAAATTGGATAGGATACCTATAAACGCCTAGTACAATGTCCAATGTGAAATTATAGCTTCTGCCATTATTTTATAGGCACATACTATTCAACTTAATACTTGTTGATTTTATTGTACTTGTCATTGTTGTGTCTTGTGGAGGGGAGATGTGGGGTGGAGGCGGCTTTGACTTAGGGAAGCACCATGATAGACCAGTTCTGATAATTAAGGTAGATGTTTTACATGTTAAAATGAGGCTTCAAGTCCAACAATTCCAGATTTATGGTACTCTTGTTTATAGGAAAAAGTGGTGCATTCTCGAGTCTGTAAGAGTGCATGATAGTGAGAGAAACTGAGAGAAGTTCACTTCACCTACATGACCTCCTTGAAGCTTTTAGTTTATTGTTCTTCATTCTTCTTGAAGTAATTATTTTTTAACGCAAATTCTAGGTTTTGTTCACAATTACTCTGGTCGCCTGTAACTAACTAGAATTATCTTTTCCTCTCCAGATCGATTATGGGAACGATAATCCTAATATATCTGACTCTGCGCATGTGGCTGATTGGTGATGGGTCTGGTAATGTTTGACACATCTGCTTTCGCTTGCAATCTCATTAGGACACTTGGCTTTTACCTTGTTATTTTCTTTTAGTTGCTCTGTTGTATCCTTCATCGTATTGTTGTCTAGGTTTTTTATTTAACGCACACAAACTGAATCTGAACCACACTTAGATGGTCCAATGGATACATTTTTTTGTATAAAAAATTTCAGTTTGATTCTTTCTCGTATCGACATATGGTTTGCTATGCAGACTATTTTTCAATGACTTGTTTTTTAGCCATTCTGTGCATAGTTTTGAGGAATGTCATGCTGTGTGTGAGATCTTATCATAGGCCGTACAAGGGCATAGAAAAGCATAACATAATACAAGCCATATATTCGAAATGAAAAAAACAAGAAAACAAACAGTTGAGCATTTTGTTGCTTAAGTTATCATTTCATATTGACCTTTTCTCCTGCTGGATATGAAGGGTGGCAATGCTATAACCTTACTATACTTTTACGTCTCTTCAGCTATAACCTTTGTATAATTTGTCGAGGACACTCTCTCACACACAATGTGTTACAACACCGGTCTAGGTGACAATGCGTGATTAGTTTAATTAAAGGTAAAATAACATTACTAATCCCTTAAAATGAACATTGCTATTGTGAGTTACCAGTTGTTAGTCATGTTACCTGCTTATCGACATTAACAAAATCCTCCTTAAAATTATGTCATACAAGAAAAAGAAGTTAAATATGATATATTGCAATACCAGAATAAGAGAGTTCCACATTTGCATTCCCTTGTGAAGGAGAATGAAATCCAAAAAACGTTTTATAATTGAATTCAGTATAAATGCTGCAAAATTTGTTGCCTTCAACAAAAATGAGATTTAAGTAGACTGATGAAGAAACACATTTCTACGCCTTCATAAAATGTGGCTATGTATAAACTAGTCAATGTAATCATTGTCTTATCTTTTTTTTTTTTTTTTAATATGTGGGACATATTACATTTGTTTTTCCTCGAGTACATTAACCTCTTCGAATGAGTATACTTCGAACTTCAATTTTTTATTTACTCGGTATCGCTTTTGACAAGTAAATATATAATTTCGATATCCTCACGAAATAGAACACGAATCTACAACGAAGAAATGGGCTCACTCAAAAATTATGCCAAAATAGAACTTACAACACCATTTCCAACAATCGCATATGCATACGCACTAGTGTTCGTCCGTGTTCATCATCACATGCATTTTCCATTGAACCTGAATTAACAAGTAACGAGTACATTACTTTCAATAAATTTTCAAAAAGCATTTTTACTAATTAATGAAAATAAAAATTTGTATTTATCACCTCTATATTCTTTTTATAATTCTGCTTCTTATACAAATTAATTTTCTCTAAATCTTATAAACCATCTCATCTAAAAAAAAAAGTTGTTTTCTTTAATTAAATTACTGCAATTTCTTGTAAAAGTATAATTATGTTGTCTGAAAGTGATTATTTGTTCATGGCGGTAGAAAAAACAAACATAAAAACTCAAGTTGAATAAACAAATTAAACTGAAAAAACATGTTTATCTGTTCCTTCCACGAAGAAGAGAAAAAGAAAACGTCTGCAAAATGCAAAAAGTGAAAACAATTAGGTATGCAATTGAAATATATTGAATTGCATACAAAAACCAAAATTTAAACCACTGGTAGGGTTCGAACCCACATGATAGACAGGAATGTTCTCCAATATGCTACATAAACTTCGTGGATGATGGCAGAGTTTTTGTTTATCTTAACAAGTAAAACTGTGAAACTGTGTACATAAAAATAATATAACTCGCCGTTGCCGGGGATCGAACCCGGGTCACCCGCGTGACAGGCGGGAATACTCACCACTATACTACAACGACTTGGTTGGTGAGGTTTGCCGCATTAAAAATATTGAATTTATGTAAAATGTCTTATTTTCAACAATTGAATCGTACTTTTTGAAATGTTATGAGATTGATTTGCAATTTTTCTTATTTTACTACTTTCTTTTATTTTTATTTATTTTAAGAGAAGGACAAACTCGCCATTCAATGGCCAAATGGAGGGAAGGACAAATTTTGTTACATGAGTTATGCAATTTTCCATTTTATTTGATTTAGACCTTTATTTTTTATTATTAAAAAGAAGAATAAAATACAAAATAAATAAATAGAAAGCAAAAATGAAGTTTCTCCATCTCTTTCTCCTCCCACTGGCCGTGGAAGTCAAAAGAAGTGTAAGTTGGAGTGAGGAGCAGCAGCTGCGGTAGTTGGGTGAGCATCAAAGGATAGATGAAGTCGTCAACTCTTTTTTCTAAATCTATATTCTATCGAACTCAAGTGTTTACTCATGTTACATCTCAGGCTCAAGTCGCGTGATTTTAACAATCAAATGAACGAAAACCATACATTGAAAATTCAAGTGCGACAAACGCGAAACATCATATACGGTAATGTAATGGTGCTGCTGAGGATGTAAATCTTACTAAATTTGGAACATAATGTCACACTAAACATCATCATATTGCAATTTCAAGGAGTAGCCATTATTGAATGTGAAGCTTTCTGCGAATGATCACCAGGGATGAGGGCCAAGAGAGTTCTTAACATCACATCACATATTCAATTAACACAGGCTTTTCAGTCCAATGTAATGAACTCTAAATCAAGTAAACTGCTACAATAAGAAGGAATAGTAAAAAACCTCCAGTAGCCTAATCAAAGTACCGTGCTTTGTTGAATCAATATTGACTTTAAACCCTGGCTTCCATATTAATATGGGGTTGTATCCCCTTTTTTGGTTTTTATATGTACATTTAATTCGGATTCTATTCTAGTCTTATGATTTGTGATTAATATATTAATCATTGAATATACAATCCCGTAAAACTAAAAAAATCATCTATTGGTCTAGCCGGAAAATGCGTGGTATAATTTGAATGGGACTTGGTCATAAGCCAACATTCTTTCTGTTCAACCTGGGTATATGGCATTAACTCATTTGTACCTCTTTCTCAATTCAATAAACTTGAAAAAGACATTCAAGAAACCACTCAACGCCCTATTCATATTTAGGATGTGACCTCAAGCTTGAAAACTTTCCAGGCAGAACAGAAACATTTAAAGTTATTTTGAAGTTCTGCTATGTTCTTCCAATTAGTCTGAATTCCAATAGTGTAGTTCCACTAACGTGTGCATTATAATTCCTAGAATGACAAGCACTGGAAGATGGGAATCTCATCTCCAAGGTAGAATCTTTCTTCACTTTTGTAGTCCTCTCTTCATGGAAAGGTTTCATCACTTTCATTAAATCATGTGAAACTTTCTCTCATGGGCTGAGAACCTTCAAATTGTTCGCAGATGTTGTGACTAGAGTGCTAGGAATGCTTCTAGAGAAAATTCAACAACACAAGAAATAATAAATGAAAAGATGTGGTTCAATGACATCGCTATAATTAAAATTGATCGTTTCACAAGAAAAAACAGCATTAAGAGCAATAGGAATGAGGCCAGAATGTTTAAGTCTCGAACCCGTGACCTTGCTGATGATATGTGCTTCCAACAATTCATTACTAAAATCGTGTTTCTGGAAATGACACTTATATAATTATGTGACAATGGCTGGATTGTTGACACTTGGCACGCCATTTACCATTGGATGAGATTCTAGAGTCTTCGACTCTCTATCTTCGGTGATACGACTCCTTTGAGATCATTATTGGGCTCTCTCTCTTCTGGCTCTTTGGTTTTTTGCTCTCTTGTCTGTGTGGGAGAATAATCTCATTCTAGGGTTTACATTCTTGAGTGAATAATCGTGTAAACTATATATTCTCTTAGATCTTCTTATGTTTGGTGAGAAGTGGGGATTCTTTGAGTGTTTGGAGTGCTGAATCTTTTGTGATTCGGGTATTGAAGAGATGTTAGGCAGATCTTTGTGATCTGGCCTATTTTATGCTTGAGGAAAGGTCGATTTAAAGGCTTGTGTAAAGATAAGTGTATGTAGCCTTTATCTTGTGTTCTTGAACAGATTTTGTAAACTGTTGTTGCCATATTTTTGGCTAGTTAGTGCAANATTGTGTGGTTCTGGCCTTTTCACAGAAATTATAGGTTCCTGCATCAGGCAACATGGGAAGAAATGGTTGCCAAATCTCTGGAAGCAGAAATGGACAGAGTATAAGATTTGCTTACGAGACAAATGAGTTGCAATGGAGTATTACAAGTGGCAGGAGACAAGAAGGGGGCATCGGACACATAAAGGAGCAAAGAACGATAGCTTAGTGAGTATACTGCTTCCTCAGAAAGAAGCAGTTCCTTGTAAGTTCCTTTCTAAAATGTTAAAGGTGGCCATAGTCTATTCAGCATCACCAGCTTTAGTTTCAGAGCTTGAAAAAAGAATAGGATTGGTGTTAAAAAATGCCAATGTTAATGGATTAGCCAGTAGACTGGAAGTTTTAAGAGATACCACACTTTCATATTGCTTCCATTTTTCCTCATTTCTTTTTCTTTCTTGGAAACAAAGACTTTCAAATAAGCCTTATTCTGCAATATCTATCCTTGAGGCATGGTCAAGTCTTGATATCTTAGTATTATGTGCCATACATATTTTGAATTGGTAAACAAACAACTTGAATAAATTTTTTGATAATGTACCCACGCACCTAATAACAACTAACATGGTGTTTCAAACACTAAGACGATTAATTTTCAATTTAGACGGGAAAAAGACACAGATTTTCACAATTTGCATCAGGAAATGAAACACGAGTCCTAGTTCTAAAACCTATTGCATAGTCCATTCATCATCATAATCCTGCTAAACAAATAAAACCAGGAACCAACTTCAAATTCATTTCCGAGCTTTGTTTAAACGCCAAAATCTCAGCGCAATGAACGACTTAAAGAATGCAGAAAGAAGTAAAGTTCATAACATAGTAATCCTTTTTTCCATCATCTTTGCACCATAATGCTATAAATAAAATCTACCAGACTCAAAAATTACTTCAAGATCATACACCATCAGGCATTAAACATACGGTGACATTTTGTAACATCTAACCATCATTTCAGCTCCCCATAAATAAATCTTGAAAACTAATACATGTTACCTCCCAAAAGACCTCATGTTGCTCCATGGAAATTTTGCCCCTGAGCTCGTGGACTTTGCTCCATCACCATCACTGCCACCACGGCGACCAAAAGTACGCCCTTCCGGCCTCTTAAATGTCCTGCCACCTTTCTTTTCATCTAGCCAATGCGACTTCTTTATAGCTTCCGGGTCCTCCACAATGCTTGATTTAGACTGCTTATTCAAACTCTTTTTGTCCTCTTCAATTATCCGGATTGGGTAAAGATCCGGATTTATGGACAGAGGGTTTTTGAGGGTCACATAAGCCTTCTTATAATCAGGTTTCGCGATCAAAAAACCTCCTCGCTTCTTCTTCTTGCCCTCCATGTTTAGAGTCTGGACTTTCTCCACCTCGAATCCGTAAAGTGATTCTAAAATCCGCTTAATCTCAATCTGCAAGGTCGAAATAATTAAATATCAAAAGATAATTAACGATTATACATTAACTACATACACTCAAAAACCCATATTGAACCTTTGAAGCGGAGGGAATGGTTTTGATAGCAATTTCGGAAATATTGGAGAAAGAAGAAGGCATGAGGAGTTTTATGGGAAGATTAGCAAAGTTAACTACTCTTCTTCCTAGTCTGCTTCCCATTCTGAGATTATTGATTAGAGCAGAGTGAAGCTCTCAGCAATGGCGTGGTGAATTCGGTTCTCATCAGTACGTTGAGGAGGAGGGTTTTAATTGGGCTTGGGTTATCTGTCAACTCAGCGAACGTGGGCTTTAAATTCGGGTCACTTTTTAAAGCCCAATTGTATTTAATAACTTGATGCAATCTATGCCCTCTTTATGAAAATCAGATTTTAAATATATTTTGATAAAATGTGCAGTTGAAGAATTATGAATTTCAAAAAAATATATGGTTAAAAATAATTGTTGATTTTAACTTAAATTTAAATCAACTTTTTTAGTTGAAGTCAAGGACGTAAAAGCAGTACACACTATCCAAGCCCGAGATCATACAGGCCGACCTGACTGGTAAAACCCCACACCCACCATTTTGATACCACCATAAGACAAATTCTTACTGCAACTCGAGTTATAAATTCCAAGTCATATTTTGAGATGCCTTGAAAAAAAAAAAAAGTAATTTTAACCTACACAAGAAGTGATATTTTGAAGATAAAAACATATTTCTTCCCTTTCTTACAATCTTACCATTTGGGCAAGTTAGTTAACACGATCTATATATTTTCTTCAACCATGCTACAAGTACACTAACTTTGACATCAAGTTTGACATTGTACCACGTGGCGACATCACATTGGGCAGTTTTTAAAAACAACACACTTTCCCGCCAAACACAATTTGAATTTACACATGGTGTCAAACTTGATGTCAAGAAAACAATGTACAAATGGCTTTATTCTATTTTCTTTGTTCGTGCATGACTTACAAGTTGACGAACTTTCTAGTAGAAGGATTCAACATGACTATGAGGACCATTATATGCTTTTCTTGATCATTTTATCAATAACTATTTTTGTACTGATATCATGGAATGTAATTTAGTTGTCACCTGAACTATTTTTGGCATGAAGACCCATAACTTGCATTCTTGATTTTATTAGTTGACTAAAATATAGTTAAGGGCGTTTGACTTTGCCCTTGTTTATAATTGGTCCCACAAGAATTGTCGCTTAAAGTAATGCTATTTGGTCACATTGGGGTTACAACTCAAATTTAGGTGACGTTAGATAATAAGTCAAATGAAATGTGAAAATAAACGTTCTAACCCAAATGGAACTGTATAACATTACTCGTACCACTTATTCCAATTTAATTATAATTTAAACCAATTGGTCATAGACATGATAGCTTACTGTGCTTAAAGAAGACATGTAGTGACCTTGGTAGTCGCAAAATAATAATTCGAGAATGTTGCCCTTATTGCATGTGTTGTAACGTATATCATCTTCTCTCTCATCAGTTATTAATATTACTGGAGACATAAATTATAGTAAAAAAAAAAAGAAGTGACAAAATGCACCCGTGTTTAATATTATCCGATTTATGTGTGAACATTCTTGCCATCGAAAACCTCAAACTTCAATTGGTTAAGAAATTAACACATCATTTGTCGCCATCATTTTTCCAGTTTTTAACATACTATGCATAAATAGCTTGCAGTACAGAGCAATATAATCTAGTTTTGGCTGAAATTGATTTGGGCATTTAATTTTAGCAGTATTGTGCTTTGTGCAACATCGACCACCCAAGTACATTAATTATGAGGGTTGGTTTGGTACGGATAGAGAAGGATAGGATGGACGATCTTTTCTTGTTTGGTCGATTCAACGTTAGGGGAATTGTGTGTTTTTGTTCTTGGTTAGTCATCTATATTTTTAGTTTTGAGATATTTTTTTATTTTCATCTTTCCACATAGCAGTAATTCCATCAGGTAGTGAAAATCCTCCAACTGTTGAAGTTCTAAAGCATTGACCACCTCCAGCCTCAACTAATCGACTGGCCCTCCTAAGAAATTGTGGTTTGATATATGATTCCAAATGTTGATTGAGATGAACAATCAACGACGACCAAGATCTTCCGAAGTACAACTTGTGATGTTGCTAAGTTCTAAAGCATTGACCACCTCCAGCCTCGACTAATCGACTGGCCCTCCTAAGAATGTGTGGGTTGATAGACGATTCCAAGTGTTGATTGAGACGAACAATCAGCGACAATCGAGATCTTCCGAAATACAACTTGTGATGTTGCTACCCTCAAACCTCTAGGCTTAAGTTAGATCCTCCAAGTCTGAAACATCCAAGATACATTTTACTAGGCAACATAATAAGTCAAAATAATGACAAATTTATTAGATAAGTATTGGAATATAACATTAAGACAAATATCACATTGTAAAAAAAGGGGGTTTCTAGTGGTCTATGCACTGTGCGATTGGCCAAACACAACTAGTTGATTTCTATAGAAAATGCAATTTCACACATGGGCAATAAAGTGCTTCTTAAGTACTTATCTTAGTTAATCGATAGGAACAAATGGATTAAAAAAAGGCCAAAAATCACCTTGAGATATAGACAAGTAACCGAAACACTAATATGCAGCAGGTAATTAAAAAAACATGAAGGATTTTCCATTACAAATGAAATCTTAGTTGTCAGCTCGATACATAAAAAAACGAATTTCAACTTATCAACTTGATACATATACAAATCCTTTATAATAATCCAAAAAATACTTAAAAACTCCTGCTCCTGCTTTTGCACTTAGTTACATCACAGGTGCACAAAGGGTTGAGATGTTGATGACCTCCCCAATTTTGATATAGTCCACAAGGTTAAAAAAAAAATGGAATTAGAAGTGTCGACCATATGAGATTAATCTTGAAATGACTCATTCAAGGCCAACCCCTTGGCCCCGCCATTTTCGTCACGCCTAAAATTAGGTTAATTAAGCTCAGAATTGTAGGTGGGCTGAGATAAAGAAAATATTTTCTTTTTCTAGATATCAGAATAATACATCTTCCTTCAAACATTTTCACATTTATCACATTCACAAATCCTCCATTCCATCCTTTAATTTCGGCAATTTCCCATTCAGGCTACAACCATATCTCTTGCCAATAATTCTTCTGTGTGACATCAACGTTGCCATCAAAACCTCTCGAAATCTAAAAGCACAACCGTAAGTGAAACCCTAACTAGAAATTCATAATCCAAACTAGAAATCTTCATGTTTGACTTCATCATCTTCTTCATTATCGACAAAGAAATTAATCACAGCACGTAATGATTTTTAATCGTTCCTCACATTGAATGCTTAATAGTGAACATCTGTTATGTATATGCCATTTTCAATCGATGCTTGGAAACGATGAAAATGCTTGAGGAAAGGCAAAAACTAAATGAAAATTTTGCAATTTAACTAGTTGAAATTGCCATAAAAATAAATACAAAATTTGAATACATTAATCCAAAATTTAATGCAAGAACCAACTCTATCTAGCTAGTTATAGTTACAATGCTTCAAAAGCAGCTCCAATCGCAAACATGTCATAATCTACACAAGAACTACACATTCCATCCGTGCAGCAGCCACACTCATCCCACTTTCTATCATTTTTCCTTCTCTTTATTGATGCCAGTGCAGATTCTTGAATTTTCATTCCTATTTGCACTGCAGCTGGCTTAGCATCTTCATCTACCCATTTATTATCTTTCGGGATCATCACAACCCAATTTTCAATTTCCATATTTGGCGATAAAAAAACATTTTTCCACGGAATCTCAGCTCTTCCCAAGAGTTTTGAGCCGTTGATTCGGCCAATGAATGGTGCAGTGCTTCTCCACCGGAGCTCGAAAACTACACTTCCTTGTTTGAGCAAGGAAATGGAGTCCTCATCACTTCCCGAGCAGTCTAAAGAGAAAGTTTTATTCCAAATCAAATCAGATTTTGTTGGGATTTGTTGGGTGTTTATTTGGACTCTTTTGTTGTTTCCTGCAGACAGATAGCATCTAACAAATACTTCTCCCTGGGGTTTGAGATCTATATTTTTAGCTCCAATGATTCTGATTTCACAGCTTATCGAAGAAGAATAAGACTGATACCCCATATTTGTGTGTGTATGCAAGAGAGAGAGTTCTTTTTGATGATGAGAAGTACTGTGTAAATATCAACAAGTTGTTGTTCTGTTGAATACACTAGGTGATAAATACAGAGAGCTTAGAAATGCCTTAAAATATGGGAGAACTAGTTTTACTATTGATATTGTTATTGTTATATCATCTTTAAAGAATAGAGAACTTGAATTAAAATCTGATTTCAAGGACTCTAAGTCTGGAGAAGTTTTGAATATTAGGGAAAAGCTGAATCGGAACAAAAGAGGAAATCAATGCAACTTCAATTCTCATAAANTTTTCATCTAATTCTTTCTATGTATTGTCCGATACAAAATCATCATCCTCGAGCTCCTTTATTTCACTTTAAGCATTTCTAATAACTTTTGTAGGTTGTAAGATATCATTCTCCTCCTTCGCATCACAACCCTGCACAATCCAAGATTGTGCAGGTAGTAGCATCACTTGCTAATAGAGTCTATATTTTGCCCTTCCTCTTCTTCTTGTTCATCATCCTTTCTTTAAATTTGACATAAATCAAGATTGTTCATCCTCGTAGTGTCAAGTCTATTCATTTTCTTAATGTACATCTACCCAAAAAAAAAAAAAAAATCTTGGCGGAGGCGCGCCTAGGCGTCCCTAATAACTATGCGCGCCTAGGAACACCTAAGCGAGCATTAAGCAGTCAACGAGGCACGCCCAGGCCAGCATTAAGCGGTCAATATTGTCGTTGACCGCTTAATTCCCGCTTAGGCTCAAGGCGAAGCGTTTTCATCACGCTTCTTTTTAGAACACTGGTTGTAATCCGTTTGAAATTATTAGTTGTAATCACCAAGTTGTGTTGTAATCCATTTGAAACTAGCATACAGAATTTGTTTGTGTTGTCATGTCAGATAATAAAGACGAGAAAATAAGATTAATATAAAAAATAATGGATCATACAAGAATACAAGATTTATGTGGAAGATAGAAAAATTTCAATATTTCAAGAAATTAAAATTGTTTTTCAAGATT